TCCAATCCTCAGCGCATGCGTCGTCACTCTTCATATGCTCCCCGTTACTGTTGGTGTACGCGATGTCAGATAATGTATAGAATGTATAAAGAAAATGACAATAGCCTAGAGGGATGGGGTAATTATCCTTGTCAACATTTCTGAAATAGGAATTATCAATACATGTATTCATTAATACTAATACACGACGCTTCCCAAAATATGATGCTGAAAATCGGTTCAATTTATTACATTTACTTAATGACCATGGCTGTAATAAGTACGTGTACACCGACATATACCAGGAATTATATGGTATTTTAGTATTTTTTAATTTTTAGGCCAAAATAGTTCTTAGCGGATTGATTTTGCGATTTCCGGTTAAAGTGCGATGTTTTTAAACAAATTAAGAAATAAAGCTTAAAAATAAATCCCATTCGGGTTTGAGTGGATTAACAGGTACCGAGTAAGGCGAAACGGACACTTCTGCTCATTATTAAATTGCTTAGCAATTGTTAATATTATTCTCGCACTAACCCCAAAAAAAAAATTATGAGGTACTCGTACTTGAAAATGAATAAATAATGTAAGTGATGTATTGGAAAATCAGGGTCGAATTCAAAGAAAATGTTTGTACTCAAAAATTAAACTTTTGAAACGTGTTCAACACTAGGCGTTATATACTAGAACATATGACCGACTACCTCATAAATGACAAGGTACACATTCCCCTAAACATCTACACTTTTCCTAATTGTCTAAAACTCGGTGATAATACTAGTAATTCCCTGCCATCGCAGTAATTCAGTCTTTCGGGAAAAGAAATCAGATAAATGAACATTCGACGAATATTGGTTGGAATTCTTATTATGTGCATTTTAATAGCCGGTGATCATAGTCTTAGAAAGGAATTGACAGCTTCTAGATTTTTCAGTCTTTACTGGAAGGAGAGTTCGTTGAAATTAAGTGTATGCAACATGCATCTACATGTTGTTCTCAATTGTGACATGACATATGGTTTTGTACATCTTATCTACATGTAGCACTAGATCCATGGAGTTATCTTTAGGTTTAACACGTGATCTTATTCTTTTGCCACAATGTTGTGAGGAATATGTAACTTATGAGTGTCAGTTTCCGCATCCGTACCAACATACTTTGGAATCATCATTGCTCGTGGGGGATTCGTGAATTTCATGGATAATCCTTACCCACGAATGCACATGCCCATTAACGATGAATCTTCTATATGTGGTTCTCTGAATGACCTTCAAAGGTGCTTTCACGTTGTGGACTACAAGGAACTGTGCCTTGCAGACTTGCACTATTTCGACTGTATAGTGGAAGGCCGCCACCTGATAATGTTACATGCAAATCCAACAGTCACTCAAAATATTTTACTCTAAATGTCTGTGGTTTAAAATCAAAGCTAATGGCAGCAGAAAATGCGCCAGAACTACATGTATATATGATATTGTTAGTTTTACAGAAATGACTAATAACTTTAAAATAATGAAATGTGAAACAGAAAATGTTTTACTTTAGAAAAAAATCCGAATAGAACCAGCTGTTGTTGGTTTTCTTATGTTCCATTTGATAATAGTTGTTTAATCTGATATTTTCTTGTCATTGGTCATTTGCAAAATGATTTTTTTTAAAAGCATTCTGATTGTAAACACAAGTACTCTGAAGTTGATATTAAAAAGATGCTTGAGTTTCTGATTGACAATATCTATGTAGTTTTGGAGATCAGGTCTTTCAGTAATCTGTTGGAATTCCCATGGGTACCAATTGCGCCCCCTTGTTAGCAGACCTTTTTTGTATTCATATGAAGCAGAATTTATTAAAAAAAACTTCCACATGAGAAGAAAACACTTGCTGTGGCCTTCAACTCGACATTCGGATATATAGAGGACGTATTTCAATTAACAATAGTTACTTCCATTCATATGTCGACTCGATATATCCCAGTGAGCTTGAAATAAAGAATACCACAGAGTCAGACACATCTGTTTCATATATGGATATTTACTACAAAAAGACTTGAATGGTATTCTAACAACAAAGCTTTATGATAAACGTGATGACTTCAATTTTTAATCGTCAGCTTCCTTACTTTTGTAGCAATATGCCCTTATCACCTGCATGTGGGGTTTTTGTCTCCCAGTTGATTCGATACGCAAGAGAACGATTTCTAAAACGAGGTAAGCTATTGACAAACGATTTGATGAAACAAGGATATCAACATTCTTGTTTGATGTTATCATTTCGCAAGTTTTATGGTCGATACAATGAATTCAAATAATATTTGTATGGGCGTATCATTTACAGCATAGCTTTTCCCTAGTGGTAAAAAAAGTTGTTTCACTAAAGTACACTATATTCAGCTGAATTAACACACAGATGTACATTAATTTGTAATATAGCAAGCAAAATTCCATAAAATAATTAAAAGAAAATTATGTCTTGTATCAATCAAACAGGTATTTTTGTAGGTAATTTTATATTTGTCATAAAACGAGTGAAAGCTGTGACTCGAATTTCCTCAGTCACGCCGCTTTTTACAGTGTTCTGTTTTGTTTTTGCTTGTAAAAGAAAACATTATTGTCTTAAAATTAACTTTAAAAAAATCTTTAAGACGTATTGGAAAAAATTCAAATATAATACGTGCTTAAAACTTTTCAAAACAAGGGGTTGACAGAACCTCAATTTCCACGTGGCCCTCCGCATGAAAATTGATCAAGATTACTGTTTAGTCTACTTCGTTCAATCATTCATAAAAACTTAATCTGAAATATATATTTTTTCTAATATATGACATTGACATGTCACTTTTTATAACGAGTATTTCAAAATATATATAAAACCCTCCGATTCTGACATTTTGGCGCTTCGAATACAGGGTCAATATTATAGTGCTGTCACCTGCGATTTGATGAATATATTAACCTCAGCCAATAACAAATCGCGTTTTGAAAGGCGTGTGAAAAGTTTATATTTCTTTTATTTTTTCGGTGACTATAAATAAACTATCGGCGGGAAAAATAAAAATAAAATTTGAAGTAGGGACTTTTATTTTTATTTCATTTTAGCCCAAATTAGGGTCGGCGCTCCCGTAAAACAGGGAATAAAAAAATGTTGGCCTCACTAGTATTTGCTTCCAGTCGCTACCATGCAGTAGTAAATACAAGTTCGTTTGGAAATCTATTTCAGTTTTTTAAAGGTTCTCGTTAACCAAATAAACTTTTTGCGCACATTTACAGAAATTAGTTCCATACAGCATGGGGCATATATATTACAAGGAAAATGTTTTGAAAAAAATCTCTTTTAATGATTTAAACACAATGAATAATATGAAAGAATTACAAGAACCCTTATTGCAAACAAGTTTACTGTTGTCCGTCGGGTAATGTCGGTCGAAGCCGATCACAATAAAACTTGTACCATTTTTTTTTAAAAATGTGAATCGTACTGAATTGTGATGACCCTCATTTACTTTTTGGGTTTCAGTATACATGTATTTATGCAAAGACCTTCCATACTTTTATATTATTGGCTTATACAACAACAATGCCCTTCATACATTTGTATACATATATGAATATTCTACAATGCTACATGAAGTATTCTGTACTTGAATCTAGATAGTTATATCACAACAACTTTTGAACATGCAATTATTAGGAAAGTTTTCCTTGAATTCAATGACTATATAAAACATATTTACTTTATGTTTGTGCCCCCTCAATAATAACTTCTGACTTTTTTCCCTGTCAAGGAATTTTAGCTTGGTAGTGCCCCCAGTTAAAAAAAAGTTTGGTTGTTGTCCTCCCCTCGAAGTAAAATTCCTTCATAAGGGCCTAGGGACCTCGGCTCCATTACTTTTAAGGAATGGAGAGGTACTCGGACATTAACCTATTCGGACAAAGGAGACAAAAAAAATTGGATGCATGGATTGGTATATATTTTTGGACTTATTTTGGTTGTAAATGACGCATATATCAAATTTCTATATCATAAAGAAATTGTAGAATTTCTATGATGTTCAATTTTCTTTGAAATCTTTTTGCCATCTCCTTTATAAATATACATTATTTTTCACTTTATAGGACAATATTGAGAAACTTTGAATGGAAAATAAAACTTCGCGACCTAAACTTTTTCATTTACTTGTGTTTATACAAACATGAGATTTAGATGTTATATTCAAGATTATTGAAAAGAAGTTTTACCTTAAGAAGGTTTGTTCATAGAATATCACATTGCACTAAGAATAGTGTGTAGTTATGTCTTGCAATACGCAAGTTTCGAGATTATCTCCCTTGGTGCGCTCCTTCGTTACGGAGGGAAGTTTTGTTTTTTTTATATATTGGATACATTACATCATCCATGTGCACATCGTAACTAATTGTCGGTATGAAGTCTTCAACCCGAAAATTACCGAATTAAAGTAAAGGCGTCCATTTTTTCTACGAACAAAAAATCGGAACAAAAGAAAATAAAAATCAGAACAAAAGAAAATATCAGTGCATAAGAACTTATCAAACGAGGGAAGAAATATGGATCTCAAAAATACACACGCATGTGATCATTGTACGTTGGCTTTCTGAATTACTCTTTCCCTTATAATAACTTCAAAGAGCCCAATAACATTTTAGAAAAGGTTTGTACAATCAAAGAATTATTTTTCTTACAAAGACTATGACGGTTCTTCCGTTTTCAAGTATCCTAACTGAAAGCAAATTTTGTAAATATGTATAGTACAGCTTTATAAAACTATCAAAATGATCATTGCTTAGCACTAGATCAAATTTCTATAACATTAAATGAATTTTAAAAGCTTAGCCATCGTTCATTTATTTATGCAGATTTGAACCTGTCCCACCTCCATGCTGATATGGATACTTTTTGCGCTCTTTCGTAGGAGAGTTACAATCTCGAAACTCGCGTATTAGTAAGCTCGAACCATCTAGATCTGTACAGAATGATAGTCCAACGGAAAGAATAACTCAAAAACAAGATTTTACTGTGAAAATAGTATATTCATTGTAAATATTTTACAGTATTTTCAAGATACGTCATATATATAATTATACATATGATAAATTGCAATATATACATATAAATGCTAATATATAGAATAGTAAAAGATTCTTAATGATAATATACTGAAAAAAGAAGAGTGATCTCCCTCTCTCTGAGCATTTTACATTATGTCATACACTGACGTCACAGATCCTTCTAAGCACCTCTTGCATTCAATGATACAAATGTAAATATTTGGTGTCTGATGTAGAAATATGTATTTCATATGTAGTTTTATTCATTAAAAAAGAGAAATCAATCAACCTTGGTCATTTGTCAGATGATAAACGATTCGTTTGTCCTCAACAAAAGTGGTCCTTCGAAAGTAAAATTATGTGTATAATTGTAGTAAATATGTATTGAAGTTCATGGTAGAAAGATTATGTTTTATAGACAAAATTCTTGAAAAAAGAGAGTATTTTATTTCCTGTAGAACATGAAGGCTTCAGAGATCTCCCTTTTCCTCAATATGTGCTTTATTTCTAAAATACTGAACCTCAAGCAGCTAGGCAGTAGAGATCTTCAATATACGCAACTCTCAAAAACTTATTCCCCATATAATGCTTAAAGCACTATATATTCTGACAGCAGCTCTAACAAACCTTTAAAGTATTAGAAGATATGCAGTAGTGAAAAAATGCCTATGCCATTTACATTTTAGCTCCATGACACATACGGGTCACCGTATCCAATGGCCGGTAGTGGGCGTCTAGTTTCCATGTCATATACGTATGGACCAATCATGGCAGGTTGTGGATAAGGTCTTCCGTAATAATAATCTGGTCCCATTTGAGTCTCCTGAAATTCGCGCCTCTTTTCCAGATATTCTTTGTCATCATAACGTTCACCACCTATGTAGCAGCCAGCCACTGAGTAAAACGTTGCCGAGAGCGCGGCAAGGATCATGCCTACCCATCCTAGGATGTAGGACCAGCCGTAGGAGCGTGTTGTTGCATTCTGCAAGCTCTGTAAAAATAAGAAACTTAAACTGTAAACGATTTTTAAATAAGTGGTTTAAGAAGTGCAATATTATACATGTAATTAATTTTCGAAATGCTGCATGAAATAGTGTGTAAAGTTCCTAGTTAAATATATGCAGTAATAATACAATAAATTTTGAACAGAGATTACAAAGTAAGTTTCTGTGTTCTGAGTTGCATTCATTTATCATTCTGAATTAATTTGATGGTACTTGTATCTATTGAATCAAATAATGGGAGCAAGTTTTGCAGAATGTCTTGAATAATAACTGGAATTAGACAAGACATTTATCTATGCAGCTAGAGCAAACAGACCCGTGCATTTAAATTTATAATTGAAGTGGAAACCCTTGAGAGAGTAATTTGAGCTTTTAATTCACTTAAAGTACAAATTTCTTGAGGGAACCGGTTTCTAAAAGTATTTCCTATATTTAAAAAATGCATTTAAACATAAAAGTACGCTTAGAAATCTCTGGACAGTCATTCAATTTCATATTCAACTGAAATGTCTTCTAACTAGCTGGGTACAAGTTGCCTTTAGTCATTTATGTTGTGTTAAATTATATATTTGAATTTGCATTTCTCTTCTCTGTAAGGATAATCGATTATGCAGAATTATTTGACTCTGGAAATATATGTTGTATCAATACATTCAAAAATCTTTTTCAACAATGATTCAGCCCTGGTTAAGTATAATGGAACTGGAATTATTTACTTCATGTTTAAAATATTACACTGTTCAATCTCCCATTCATGTATAAGTCAATTCCTGACCTTGACATAAATGTATATACATGTAGTACTAGTATACCACAATATTTCCATCAACAACAAATGTGTGATTACATTGTATATGTTCACCATGCAAGATTTTTGAGTAAAATTAAGTGTTAACCCTAACTTAATGAGAGCACAGTTGTTTTTCTCTTGTGAAATGAAAAAAAAAATTAAAATAACTTACCGCAGACCACTTTGAGTAGAAAGAATGATCGTCTTCGATTTTATTCCTCTCAAGGTATTCAGCTCCATGAAAAAACGCTATGGCTGCTGCCGTGGCGAATGCTGTAAGAGATAGAACCAACAGACTGATATTAGACATATGAAAATGGTTGTTTGCTGTCTTATTGTAAGGCAATATACTAGTAGTTTCTAACTTTCTATGTATATATACTAGGGGAAAAACATAGGTAATCAGAGATTACAGAGCTCACCTCAACGAATGTTGTCTTTAAGTAAGGCAAAGTCCAACACTAAACTAATAATCTAGGAGTGTGCATCCCTAGATGCAACATTTATGCAATTTTGGTCTGATAGGGCTTGCAGTTACTTGGGAATAGACTTATCTGAAAACTTAAAACTAGTCACTCATCCAGAAAATGTAAGTCAAATCCAGCATCCGAAGCAAGTTTTGAGATTGTCCGTCCCTTGATGCATCATCCATGCAATTTGGTTCAGATAGGCCTTATAGTTACTTGGAATGAGATCTGCTCCAAAAACTTTAACCTGGTTACTCATCCGGAAAATGTAGGTCAGATCCAGCATCCGGAGCAAGTCCAGTAGTGTGCATCCTTAGATGTATCATCCATGCAAGTTTAGTCAATATAGGGCTTATAGTTACTTGGAAATGACATCTGCTCCAAAAACTTTAACCTGGTCACTCATCCCAAAAATTTAGGTCAGATCCAGCATATGAAGCAAGTCCAGTAGTGTGCATCCTTAGATGTATCATCCATGCAAGTTTGGTCAATATAGGGCTTATAGTTACTTGGAAATGACATCTGCTCCAAAAACTTTAACCTGGTCACTCATCCCAAAAATTTAGGTCAGATCCAGCATATGAAGCAAGTCCAGTAGTGTGCATCCTTAGATGTATCATCCATGCAAGTTTGGTCAATATAGGGCTTATAGTTACTTGGAAATGAGATCTGCTCCAAAAACTTTAACCTGGTTACTCATCCGGAAAATGTAGGTCAGATCCAGCATCCGAAGCAATCCAGTAGTGTACATCCTTAGATGTATCATCCATGCAAGTTTGGTCAATATAAGGTTCATAGATACTTGGAAATGACATCTGCTCCAAAAACTTTAACCTGGTCACTCATCCATAAAATATAGGTCAGATTCAGCATCCGAAGCAAGTCCAGTAGTGTACATCCTAAGATGTATCATCCATGCAAGTTTGGTCAATATAGGGTTCATAGATACTTGGAAATGACATCTGCTCCAAAAACTTTAACCTGGTCACTCATTTGGAAAATATAGGTCAGATCCAGCATCCGAAGCAAGTCCAGTAGTGTGCATCCTTAGATGTATCATCCATACAAGTTTGGTCAATATAAGGCTTATAATTACTTGGAAATGACATCTGCTCCAAAAACTTTAACCTAGTCACTCATCCGGAAAATGTAGGTCAGATCCAGCATCCGAAGCAAGTCCAGTAATGTGCATCCTTAGATGTATCATTCATGCAAGTTTGGTCAATATAGGGCTAATAGTTACTTGGAAATGAGACCTGCTCCAAAAACTTTAACCTGCTCCAAAAACTTTAACCTGCTCCAAAAACATTAACCTGGTCATTCTTTAGCTGAAATTCCAGCATCTGAAACCTTGACTGGTACAATAAAACACACTAGAAGCATCCTCCATGCACCTCTGACTAATATAGGCCATAGAAGTACTTGAAAAGAAAACTGCTCCAAAAACCTTAACCTGGGACGCCGACACCGACGCCGACGCCGAGGGTATTACATAAGCTCCCCCAACTTCGTTGAGGTGAGCTAAAAACTGACCCAGCCAACCTGCATGAATATGTCTCTTTTGAAATACAGATAATGTAAATATCATTGTTAATCAACAATTTTCGAAACATTCAGTGATAGCAGTCATATTAATATTGGACAATTACCTTTACTTCAACATTGACAAAACGCAATTTCTGAGAATCAGTCTAGATGCTGCCGATGCATGTATATGATCATATGTAAAATTAATTGTTCAATAGTATAGTAATCCTTGATAAATAGCAATGTACATCAGGGTTTTATGTTAGCTAAAATGGTATACTTCAGTCTAATCTAGCATTCATTTGTCGCGTTACCTGCTATGTAAGCACACAGGCCAGCGATATAGGCCCATTTAGATCTTCTCCAGCAGCAGACAACCAAACCAAATATAAAGGCCAACAGGAAGACTACCAGCGCCACCACGTAAAAGGCCAAGAAACAACGAGAAAGGTCTGAAACATATGTTGATAACCAAAACCGTAATAGGCAAAACAGCATCTATTCTTAATTAAAAGTTCACATTCAGTTTTTTTTATTGAACTTTCCAAGTTTTTTTATTCAATATTTTCAAATTCTGTAGCTATTATTTTATCATATTTCAAGCTAGGACGTTCTTATGCATTCATATGCACAGTTATTTATTAATGTGTATTCCCTTACGGATTCTGGCGAGGTATTCGGTACTTGGGTTGGACGTGGATGATTCTGGCACCTCGTAATCTATGTTAAAACAGTAATTATCCACAACACCTGTTTCTGTCGATAAAACTGAAAAGAAAAAATAGGATCGATTGGTCAAATCGTCACCAGACATACATAACAGTAAGGACTATATACAAGTATATTTATGTATTTTTTGACATAATTTACTTTAATTATCCCTAGGCTATCAAAATTGCTCAGAACGCAAAATACTTGTTTAAGTTCATCAAATACTCTCAGGCCTACCAGCATGTTGCCAAAATAAGCAGATCTTTCATTTTTATTTGATTTTTTGATGTTCAAAGAACCTCCGATAAGAGAGAGATACATGTACCTCTCACTAGGATGAAGAATTTTGCACCCCTAAGTAGATTGAAATTGTTCTTATTTCAGTTACAACTTATATCTTATTTAGAAAGTCATTATCAAAAAAATATATATAAAAGAACAGAAGAACCTTAAATCTTAAGAATTTTACAAAAATTATTCATATATATATAAAGAGAGGGTTCTTTTGAACATATGGAATTATGTGATCTGTTCATTACTTAGGTTGAAATCGATCACCGGTTTTACAGCTGTTACACTGTATATTACTTATAAATTATTGATAGGTATCGTCCAATACAGGTGTTAATAACCGGGAACGATAACAAATTAAACATGTGGGTAAACGAGTGTTGTTACTGAAAGTACATAGGTATACACTGTACATAGCTCTCTTAAGAGCCCTCTATACACTGCACACTAGAGAGTTCTGATTTTGTGGTATTTTTATGCAGATAGAGTGATCTGCCCTTTGATTAAGAATAAAATAAATTGAAATGTACAGTTTATTACTTAATTTGGGATGAAATCAAGCATTCATAACACTTTAATAGGTCAAGATGAATAGATAGAACACTTCATTTGCAGGTGTTTTACCCACTTAAGTAAACAACAGTGATTTATGTTCATCAGTACTTCATTGTCTTCGAACATTTTTCCTGGGGGTAAATGTAAGGCAACCTTTGTTGAAAATGTGATAGATAAGCTCAATGCTTACACCTTTACACACTATAATCTCATCAATGTCCAAAAAATATTTTCCTCTAGTGTATAGAGGGTCCTTAAGTCCATTACACAACACACCAAACTTTAATGCTGTCTTTGCCCAGTATAGTTTATATCAGTCTTTGTCCAGGAAAATTTTGGTCCCGTAAGGTTTATAACAGTCTTGGCCTAGTATAATTTACATCAGTCTTTGTTCAGGAAAATCTTGGTCCAGTATGGTTTATATCAGTCTTGGTCCAGTATAGTTTATATCAGTCTTGGTCCATTATGGTTTATATCAGTCTTGGTCTAGAATAGTTTACATCGGTTTTGGTCCAGTATGGTTTATATTAATCTTGGTCCAGTATGGTTTATATCAGTCTTAGTTTAGTATGGGTTATATCAGTCTTTGTCCAGTATGGTTTATGTCAGTCTTGGTCTAGAATAGTTTACATCGGTTTTGGTCCAGAATACTAGTAGTTTATATCAGTCTCGGTCCAGTAAGGTTTATGTCAGTCTTGGCCTTGTATGGTTTATATTAATTTTGGTCCAGTATGGTTTTTAGCAGTCTTTGTTTAAAATGGTTTATATCAGTCTTTGCCTAGTATGGTTTATATCAGTCTTGGTCCAGCAAGGTCTATGTCAGTCGTGGCCGAGTGTGGTTTATATCAGTCTTGATCAAGTATTGTTTATATCAGTTTTGGTCCAGTATGGTTTATTATAATATCAGTTTTGGTCCAGTATGGTTTATATCAGTCTTGACTTAGTATGGTTTATATCAGTCTTGACCCAGTATGGTTTATATCAGTCTTGACTCAGTATGGTTTATATCAGTCTTGGTCTAGTATGGTTTATATCAGTCTTGGTCCAGTATGGTTTATATCAGTCTTGGTCCAGCAAGGTCTATGTCAGTCGTGGCCGAGTGTGGTTTATATCAGTCTTGATCAAGTATTGTTTATATCAGTTTTGGTCCAGTATGGTTTATTATAATATCAGTTTTGGTCCAGTATGGTTGATATCAGTCTTGACCCTATAAAGGTTATATCAGTCTTGACCCAGTATGGTTTATATCAGTCTTGACCCAGTATGGTTTATATCAGTCTTCACCCAGTATGGTTTATATCAGTCTTGACTCAGTATGGTTTATATCAGTCTTGGTCCAGTATGGTTTATATCTATCAGTCTTGGTCCAGTATGGTTTATATCAGTCAGTCTTGACCCAATAAAGTTTGTATCAGTCTTGACCCAATAAAGGTTATATCAGTCTTGACCCAATAAAGTTTGTATCAGTCTTGACCCAGTATGGTTTATATCAGTCTTGACCCAATAAAGGTTATATCAGTCTTGACCCAGTATGGTTTATTTAAACTTTGGTCAATAGTTTAGAGATGAAGAACCTTGGAACAGTTTAAGACGAAGAGAAATCACGTTTTTCTCTCTTACTCTTCCACATTTTTTTAATGTAGGAAATGTGGGGCAAAACAATATGCATCCTCTAGGAAAAGTAGGCCCATTTCAAACAGATGACACTTCGGTCTGGAAACAATACATTTGCCTCTCTTAAGATGACTGGCATTTATAATAAGTGAAAGTTGTGCAAAAGTACACTCTCATATTGCGGTGCATTTTTCATAATGAAACTACTGTTTTATATTCATGATTAGCAAGGTTTAAAACAAATAGCAAAGCAAAATTCACTATCTCTAAAGGTGGTCTCAAGTTTCCTGTGAAAAATTCACTTCGGAACTATTTATATTCCTTTAACAAAGAACTTTAAAAAGTCAAAAGCATTAAACAATTTTAAAGAAAATGGTATAATAGTACTATATTCAATTAGAAGTTTTTGAAGGCGGCTTTTCTTCTTGTGTGTATTTAAAAGATATTGCAAATTTTCACTCTTAAAATTCATGAATTTCTTTAAAAAACAAGTTTTTGAATTATTATGAATTCTTTATCACTTCGTATTGATTAAAATGAGATCGAGTGCACAAATCTGTATACGCTCCGTCTTTGGGGCACTGCATTTTCTTGCATGTCTGTATCGTTGTTGCCCCGGTTGAATATTATTTTTTTTTTAAATGTGTCTAAAGAAGGGTAGTCTGTTAAATAATAGAAATATGAAGCTTAAATGTCTTTACACCTGTAACAAAAGGTGCATATAAGTAACAAACAAAACAATTCAGTTTCACATCATTCAACACGACCACCAGGAAGACAAATTACAGGTAAGCACCTAAATAATATACTGTTTCTATATGTCAACAAGGAAGTATTACATATATATCAAACGTAGATTAAAAGAATACAAATCGCGTTTAAAAGGATTTGTCTGTTATGCTTGAAATTTACATCACAATCAGATAAGTGGGTCAGGTTTTAGTAAGCTTATGTAATTTAAGTGTATTTACCCTGGAAAATTCCGGGTGTTCTTTAAGATACAAAAGTTAACAATTAATCATAATTTTATTATCAATGCTGGAACATATTGTGCATTCAGAATAAATGTTACCGTACATAGCCATATAATTTCAAAATGGGATCACTACTTGTGGGCTTCTGCACCTTTCATTCCAAACGCGAAGATGGCTTGTTATTTTATTATTTTAATACTTAATCTGACATGCAAGATAGAATAGATGTTAACAGGAATTAAGATGACAATAAAATTCTAAAGTTTCTTCTTAATGACTTTTGACAAAGTTGAATGGTCCCATACTTCATAATAAGCATTCTAGACCTAGTTTTGTGTGCAATCATATGAATACAAGTACATGTATATATCTTTCAAAATTAGGCCATTTTGGCCTTTTTTGTTTCAAACAGCCCACTATCCTGTAATGTACCATGGCCTCAAACTTCCTATTATAATATATGACTCAAGACAAACTGATGGACAACACCCCGTTATCATACATCACGAACGAATATATACTATTAGAATAAAGTATTATACTTTCAAATAGCCATCATTTCAATTGATTTTCTTAAATTGCTGTTCTACTTAACAAAAAATATAACACGTTATGCCATGCTTCTCATTATTTCAAGAATTAAATTTCTCCCGATTTTTTCGAGTCCCCCGGTCATTGAGCCCTATACGGTCGGATCTTCTTGCAAGGATGGTCGATTTAATTTCTTCTGGCTGAGACCATTTATAAAGAAAGACTAAACCCTTGCGAGTACTGATGCATCACTTCACGGGAGTTATTTAGCCAATAAATATACAATGTGAGAAAGAAACACAATGGTTTCCGAACCTCGTGTACAACTAATGAACACCTTGCTTGCTTTTAAATTGTCCCGCCTCAGGATGTTTTGTCATTTCATAATCTTTCGTTTCAATACAAGAAACCTCTCGAATGCGTTTTTCATGTTTACATCTCATATACACTCTTAATTTAATTCATACGTGATGTAGGATGTAGCAATTCATTCTTGAAAGAATTGGCAGTTATAACTGCATTTTGTTGATCATGTAGTAACATTTTCTATTGCATTGTACGGGCTATTTGAGGAATGTGTCTAGATATCTGCTAAAAATATTATATCTATATATTAAAACTTAGTTCCAAGTAAATTTTTAATATGCTACATATATTCACAGCTAAAATACCAATTTTCCTTCTTTAAAGTTTAGCATAACCTGATTTTGTACTTTTGTGTGATTTATATCAATTGGGATAATATACCCTGTATATGTAAACTTTTGTTTTACAGTGTCAAGCTGATTTAGAGCTGAATTGGAAATGTGGCATATTCCCTGTCAGAATATTAATATTGGAAATTCATGTTTATCGTAGGTCAACAATTTTTACACTGTGCGACAAAACCTCACAAAATCTATTCAACGAATCATTTTGCCTGTGTTCAAGTTGTATGGATGAAAAATGAAAACATGAAAGGTAATTTAACACAAGTTTTAGACTGGTCTAGAAAGGGCAACTTAATTATGAATATACAATTTACATTATGCAAATCAGGGGGGAAAAAGACTGTCACAAAAATATACATCTACAGTTTTAGGAACACACACTTTAAATAATTTAATTGTGCAATTTTCAACAACGATGGTCCCAGCACTGTCAATAACTGTGAATATTATTTATGCTTCAGTGAAAATAAAAGGTATACAATATAAGAATATTTCCATGTGCCCATTGCCTCTTGATGAAAATTAAGACGTTCATTACTTTGCTCCAATCTGTTAGTGTAGAGGGAATGACTGGGAAGTTAATAGTGGACACGAATTTCGTTCAATGGGAATCTACAGAAATATTGTTGAAAATCACTCATCTTTGACATTCCACAAGCACACCTCGGAAATTCGATCTGACCGTGAATATGGTTATCTAGGCCAAACGAACAACTTTTTCCCCTGCATCAAACAGCGAGTAAGTTTTTTTTCTTTTTCGGTAATGTTATTTTTATCACAAATTGTTTCATTATTGTGAATTTACCTCAGCAAAACATTGGGTTTACACATAACACACCTTAATATATCTCTTTTTTCTTTCTTTTTTCTTTTTTTTTTAAAAATATTCTTACGGTGTTAAATCCAGAAATAATGCATTCATTGTCTCCAAGGGAAACTTCATAATAAAATGAACAATTAACTAGATGGTATTAATTATTACATGTCTTTGCAGAAAAAAATGAGGCGACACTAACACTGTACAACGTGATCGGAATTATATCGAATTACAGGTAAAAGTAGAATTAAATCGATCAAAATACCATCCACAAATTTTCTTCAATCCGCGAAAACTTCCTGAAATAGAATCTTCCTGGGAATAAACCTCAGAAAGAAATCATAAGATCGGCCATTATTTGGGTGGGGCGATGTTTAAAAAAATACCTGTTCCTGTGTACAAGGTCTATTTATATCCCTGAAAATAAATACTTACATTCTGTATCGTTTCCTGGGTAACATTCCCTGAATAGACCCCTGTATCTTGTGTGGGTAACTCTGTTGGGTTCGGAAGGACTGGTGAGTTTGTCCCGGGCCACCTTAAATTCCAGCCAGTGATCTGTGGCAAACGAAACGGCCAGAAAAACGATGGTGATGGGCCCCAGAATGGTGGCACACACCAGCATCACCGTCCCGCAGGTGCTCGTTCTCATATTTATCCTCCCAGGGAAATACCCGACCCCTCACACTATAAAATACCGAACCTCTGGTCCGAGGTAAAGAAAAAACAGGGCAGGGTCCGACGAAAAAATAGGCACTACAGAACGAGCTCACAGACTGTGAAGAAAATCCATATATTGTTTGTTCACTGATCAGTTTACATTGTGGGCCTGCAAAAGTTCCGGACCAGTGATTTCGCATAATGGAGACATAATAATATATTCGCTGCCATTGCTAAAGGTAAAACCAGGTAGAAAAGCGCTGCTTTTTATTATTGAAACAATTTCTCAAAACTTTATCAAATGTGAACGTTAAAGAGTCAAAACGGTTCGTAAGTTTGTCTTAATTTCAACGCCAATTATGTTATTAAAACATTTCAAAAGTCAAGCCAAATATAAGGTGTGGTTCCGAAGCCATCCCTGAATTCCGTCGCATTAAATACTTAAAATGCTTCTTTGAAAAAGGGTGTAACATTAAAAATGAGGCATATCTTGACTCACGACTCTACGCCTCAGCTGTAGAAATTAAAAAGAACCTACACTCACACTTATGATATTTAGAAACCAGATTTTTACTCCCTTGCAAAATACACTGTACCTTGAGAAAAATTTGAATTACTGAAAAAGAACCAGGTAAAACGTACATGTACATGTATCATAACTTATATATTTACATGTATTAATTTTGTATACATGTATTGCATTAATGGATTAAATATTTTAATAAGCGCTGTATTCTTGAAAGTGACAGTCTTTTCTTTCATTAATTGCACAAATACAATTTTGAAGTCAATTAGTACTCAAAATAATGTGACTCGCTCATTCACTTCAGTAGCAATTTTAATACTGGGTGGTTTATTTATTGAAAACCTGTATGCACCGAAGAAAGGAATGTTGAAAATATTAAAGACTGTGTAGTAGGACAAAAGTATGGAAAAGAGAATGAAAATTCATGCAGCATGTTTTATGACTAGCTGACCATGATTTCGCCGTTAAATATTACGCATCATTATATACTCATAGCCACATGTACTTTGAGACAACAGACCATTTTCACTTGTGTACGTTGTACCAAGCTAGTGAAACAGATTCAAATCATGGATTAGTAAAATTAATAGAATTGATAAAAATCATGTCTTTTTATGTAAATAAAAAAATAATCATATACCGTTGGTGACTTTTGAATAAAGTTGTTAACTAAGAGTGAATACGTACTTGTAAATTACTTTTTTTTTAAAAAAAGCTAAATAAGTATAATCTGTTTTGCAGACTTTACATATTGGTCACCATTCACCAGGTCCATTTATAAATTTAAATAAACTTGGTACTTCACTATATGAGCTATATAGCTGTTCATTTATGTATTTTAATAATTTTAGCTCACCCCGACGAAGTCCATATGAGCTTATGCTATACCCCCGGCGTCGGTGTTGGCGTCCCGCTTAAGACTCATTTCAAAGTACATGTACATGTAATTATAAACCTTACCTGGACCAGACTTGAATGGATCATACATACATAGATTGCCTTCGAATGCAGGATCTGACTTACATTTTCCGGGTAAGAAACCAGGTTTAAGTTCCTAGAGCAAGCTGATCTTATACTAGCAGGTGTCATTCCAAAGTAACTACATGTATAAGGCTTATGGTGACTAAACTTTCTTGGCTGATGCATATAATGATGCACATCAGAAGACTGGCTTAGAATTTTGGATCTGACTTACATTTTCCAGGTAAGTGAACAGATAAAAGATTTTAGAGCACGTTCATTCCCAATTAACTGTAAGTCCTACCTGGACCAAACAGGGATGATGCATCTAGGAATGCTCGCTTCCAGATTGGCTACACATGCTGGATTTGACCTATATTTTTATGTCCCCGCCATAAAATGGCCGGAGCATATAGTGTTACCCTTTTCCGTCATTCTGTCATTCCGCCATCATTCACTTTCCGTTCATTATCCCTACAACAGTTGCATTCATAGGAATACGCAGGTCAAGTTCGAATTGGGTCATGGTCCGATGATTTTTGACAGTGTTATCCCTCTTGAACTTAGAAAAAATAAGAAAATTTTAGTTTCCGCTCTCTAACCAGGGATCGACATTAACGGTTGTCCGATTGCCCGGGGCAAGTAAATTCTCAGTACGGGCAAGTGAAACTGCTGATGTACTTGTCCGATCGGGCAAGTGAATATTTGATAGATTTTTTAAATCTTACATTAGTTTATAAACAAAACAATAATTTGAACATTTGATTTCTACCAGGAATATATGACATTCTTTTTGTAGTCGGAAATTCCTCGGTAGCGCCGTTTATTCCAAAATCGGGTTCGTTATTCCATTTTTCTTTCTGGGTAGTTGACAAAACTGACTTCTTAACATTCTTATTATGAAATATGATATTTAAAAATAGCTCATTTATTTACTCACAGAACATAAAGAAAACCAGTTATTCTCGGCACACGATGTATTCTAAATAGGATATTTATGTTTCAAAACATGGCCAATGTTTTTCTTTAGCGTGGCTTCAGTTTTTCAGGGGGAAAAAATCTAAATTCACAAAAAGATCATTAAGAAAATAAATTTCAAAAATATGAATTTCATTTAAAAGGAGATATTGCTGCATGGCAGTGTGAGTTTACAAGTATTTAAAATGTAGCATCACCTGCACATCAAGATATTTTTCTGGCACTTAACTTGCCAAATATAAAAAAAAATATCTCACTTTATTTACAATAATAAATTAAGTTATCGGTTTCCCTTCTTTCTAAATTTTGGGCAACCAAGTTTTGTATTCGGACAAGTCAAAGTTTGAGTTCACTTGCCCAAAGGGCAAGTGAATCTGTAAGTTGATGTCTATCCCTGCTAACTTTTGAAAGGATGTATGTACAAGGTTGATTTTGCATATGTAGTATTTTGCCAGAAAATACATGACAAGTTTGAATTTGGTCGTGTTCCAATGATTTTTGACAGAGTTATCTCTCTTGAACTTAGAAAAATACGACATTTTCAGTTTCCGCTCTCTAACTTTTGTAGGGATGTATATATAAGAAGTTGCATGTGCAGGTATTTTACCAGAAAATGCAGGTCAAGTTCGAATTTGGTTGTGGTCCAATGATTTTTGACAGAGTTACATCACGGTGTAGTACCTAAACGGTTGCTATCAGAACAAAAAAGCGTTCTTTGTTTCTATTCGTAAATTTTACGGCTACTAGCTGAAATAAATATGTCGGGAAAACTTGGAACAAGAGGTAAAATTGTCAGAAAGTGACCCCAAATCGATTTAGTCTCAGAAAAATCCTTGTGCACGGAACAAGTAAGGGATTTCTTTAAATGATGCCAGATGTATTTTGTAGAACAACCTTCTAAAAATTTAAATATAGTAAAATTTCCGAAGCATGTACCCATTCGCAAGTCAATATACTCCAAGTTTCCATGCCTTTTTTCATCATTTATAGGTTAGTTTGAGTTCATTTTGGTATGTAAAGTTGTGTCAATCTATAATAATTCGTAGATATGAAATTTTTTTTTATAAAAAAAAGTGTATTTTGAAAGAGATTTTTGGACAAAACACGATCTTCTTAAGTTACGGTTACTATCAGAAATGTTGGTATGTAGGCACCGGCTATAAACTGAATATAATGCACCGGCTGCTATTTGAAATATAATTTGTTTTTCAATCAAGAAAGAGAAAATTAAAAATCTTATGGCTGCACAGGCATAGTAAATATATTTAAAACATCCAAAGAGCATATGGAACACAATGTCTACATGTACAATTGACATTTATCAACTTAACTCGAATTTGTTGTGTTCTGCCAAGTAGAGCTGATCTTCGAAAAACATCACTATACATATACAAAATCAAAAAGAAAGCTATACGAAGGAAACGTAAGTTTAAATTAAATGAAAGAACTTTTCTATCAGTACTTCAAAAGCTTTGGAAAGCTTTCGAAAACTATTTCTTTTTAAATTTTTGTAGCCTATATGTATACTCAGACCTAAATAATGTCTAGTAAATTTTCAGTTTAACCTTTGACGGTAGTGCTTTGGTACGCTGTTGCATCAGAAAATACAATTAACACGCATTATTCAAACCATCGGATCTTGAATGGAGAGGATGTCCGATTCCCCCTTTTGGATGATTTTTCTGGATTATTAAATTTATGCAGATAGAAGAGACAATCAACCCCCCCCCCCCTCCCGGGGGTGGGGGGGGGGCTCAAAAGAAGAAGGTCTTTCAGATGGAGAAGACTGAGCTACTTGTTTGCTTTTCAATTTTCTTATATTTACTTCTATTTCTCTCTCTGTCTCTTTTGAGTGGGCTTTGAACCCCCCCCCCCCCCTTAAAAAGGTGGAGATCCGAACATGAAAAAGGCTAATATTCTATCCAGTAAGTAATATATAATTATGTACATTTAAAGGAGAGGGCATTACAATTATTTACAGACAAATGTAGTCTTTTTCGAAACAGAAGGGGGGGGGGGGGTAATTGTGTGCAATTCCACTTTATTACTTTCAATACATGTACATATTTTTTGGACATTAGAAGTGTTTGACCATACTGTACTCGTACATCAAAAATTGAATTTAAAAAAAGTAGTTTATTGAACTGGATGTATAATATAGTAGCATCTATAATAAGGTTTGTTATTCGAGCGAGCCGCTCACTTGGATGAAACTTGTAAGGATGGTGTATCTACGGTTGCCTTGCTTACACATAGGATCCGATGCTGCTGATCTGGCCTTCAATTTTTGAAAAGTGTTTGAGACAAGTCCATTCTAAAGAAACTATATTACCACAACTCACTGAATAAAAGTTTATAGTTTATATCCAACCAAAAAAAAAAAACAAAAAACAATAAAAACAAAAACAAAAAATAAAACAAAAAAGACATGAGCGATCCTTTATTTGTGAATCTGGCGTAATTACTCAGGTGAAATCTGATAAATTCAATGGAAGGTGCACATAATTTAAAGACTAACAATTTTATTTTGTGCAGGATACTTAATAAATGTACAGGGTATTCACAAACACTACTATTATTATTAGTCATACCATACATATAGATATTGAAATAAATCAATTTATCGTTATAGGATCGAAATCAAGGTAAT